TAGAAATTACTTAACTTAATTTCTAAGTATCCTAGGAGTTAACTCGTATTTACGAATACTCGGTAATTACTCTTATACTTACGAGATATTATAACGAAGCCTACGCCTATATAAAATAGGCCTATACTCCTTTACTTAGATAGATCTTAAGTTATTTAATAAGATAGAAAGCTACTATATACTCTACTCCTTCTTTCTACGGTCTTTAGCTACTTCTACTATAGATCCTAAACCTTATCTCCCGGATAATACTCTAGTACCTACTCTATTAAGGAACCCTACCTTAGTTAGAACTACTTATAGCTCGGATTATAATATTTACTCTATAAGCTTATAATAAGTATCTATTATAGTCTAGCGCTACGAGCCTACGGTAGCCTAGGACTTACTAGGCTACTCGGTCTAAAATATAGATAAGCTCGTAAGCTAATTTTCCTATTATTTTAAATAGCTTTAAAGACTAAATTTATTCTAGCTTCGTATAAAGTAGAAGATATATTTAGTTATTAAGAATTTAATATTAAAGGTCGAATAAGTATATCGCTATAGGAAGTAGTCCGCTCGCTTATATAGCCCGTTCGCTTATAAAGAACGTTATACGATAATACTATATATATTATATATATAAATTAGGCTCTATTAATCCTCTTTTATACTATATAGGTCTATTTTTCGACGTAAGAAGGGCTAAACATCGCGATTATCCTGTATTAATAACGCGTTAACGTACCGAAGATCTACCTCTAAACTTAACGAAATATAAAAGTAGTATAGTTATAGTATATAAGAAAGAGCTACGCCTATTTTATATACGCCCGCAATAGAAATTTAATTTATATCCTTAATTTCTTGCCCGGCAATAGTTTACTGTATTAGAAGTCGAGAAGCACGCGACTTAGAGGCGTAGTAGAAAGGAAGGATATAGCTATAATAGTAAGTAACGTCAGCGCTAATAGGTTTAAATATATCTTTAAGAACGCGAACGTCCTTAATTAATAACGCGTTAGCGCGCCGAAATATAACCTCTAAGCCTCACTATTTACGGCATTTAGCGGCCCTCCTATCTACTTTCAAATGGAACATCGATTTACGTAAGGTACAATGGCCGGACCCCATGGATTAACGAGTAAGTAGTAAGCCGAGTGTCTCTTTACCCGGACTAGAGGAAGTAGAGCTATACATATTCTTTAGCTGTCTATCAGCGGGAAGGATTGGCGGCCTCACTACTAGTGTCGCCTTTATACTTCTAGACTTTATCCTAATGCTTCTAGCGAGCTATTTATAAACACTTACTAGTTTCGAGAATATCTACTTTAATAGTTCGTTTAGGGCTTTACAGCTAATCGTAGCCGTAGTAGTATATATATATCGCGCGTCGTAGAAATTTTTAGACTAAAATTAGTTAAAAGATTCTACGTACTACTTATAAAATCACCTCTAACGATTGCATAAAGCTACAGGCGAAGTAAGTACGTACGATATACCCACTCTACAGCACGACTAAATAGTAACTAGAGCTTCAATTTCTTCTATAAGGGCTATTGCTCTCCGATATTTCCATGTCTTTCGATTTAGGCATTTCCAGCCTACTTCGCGGTTCTAGACTAGTTTAACCGTAGATAGGGTATAGTCCGAGGCTTGTGCAACTACTAAAGGATGAACATAGCGTATAAGTTCTAGGCCTACTAAAATTACTAATAAAAGTAATAACTATTAAGTGCTGCGGAAAAGCTGCTAGAAGGTGGCGATCTAATTACTGAAAGGACTATGACGTAATAGTATTTAACGTTGGAGACCGTAGTACGATGCACACTAATTAGTCTCTTGTCTAGAGATAGGTTTTACTAAATTTAATATTTTCTCCTAGACTATTTTCTATTGCTCTATTTTCCCGACTTGATCGTGGTCCCTAATTAGGAAATACCGTAACTACTAATGTATTCGATTATTATGCTCAACATTATCGCTGCTATAATTAATTGTCTTCGTGGTCTAGGCTGGATCTCTAAGGTACTTACACAAACCACTTTTATTATTTAGTAGCTAGAGCGGCCCTGAAGTCTCCTATTTCCCCCAGCCCAATTTTATCTATAATTAGCTCCGTCTTTTACTGTCTCAAGCATCGTGATAGCCCATTGCCGGGACGTAGATGCTGTAACACCTACTGATCTTGCAATCTAACAGTTTCCCCTCGATTCGGACGAAACGGAAGACGAGGAAGACTACGCGTATGACTAGATGTAACCTTTATCTATAATATCCTCGGTAGAAGTAAGTGACCTTATATCCTCAATGGCGGTCAGCCTATTCTAGATGTGCCACCGTTTTGTTGTCGGTCTTTTAAACGATTTATAGTCTCTATCCTCTTTTGAAAGAGAAGCATTCTAAGTTTAATTCAGCTAAAATATCATCGCTGGCCTTAATTAGGGAGAGTCGGCACTAGTATTTAATGGCTGTCCCAGGGGATAGGATAGGTAGTAGAATCTAGAAATCTTATTCGCTGGACTTGGAAGTCTATGACAACGTTTGAAAATTAGCCGAATATAGCAATTCAACCTCCCATTACTGATATTAGCTTTGTTTCGACTGGAAGTGGAAACTATGACACTTTCCTCGGACCGTGGCGTCGGCGACCAATTGGTTGATGATCGCGGCGAGATAAGAGTTGATTACACCCTGTACTTTTTTAAGGTGATGCTCTGCTGTCTCCTGCCACTTAAAAGTTTATTGTCGGAAAAGATTTTCGATCATGGTAGGATTGATGCAACTAGGTAGGAGGGATCCTAGTAATGCCAGCGTCAATGAAACCGTCGTAGTTCCGCCTACTCAAGTTGCTCTACGTGCCAGGACTAATGGCTTACAATAACCCTACACTTTTGCGGCCATTAAGGCCCTTAAGGTGAAGCTACAGGGAAAGGACTGTCTACGCAATCCTTGACGCTGCTGCAAATGCCCGATCTAGTTAATCAAACGCTATTCTCTCTTACCGCTATCTATTAAGGGGCCTTCTATTGTTGAGAATAGACACCTAACAGGGACAAATAAGTCAAGAATCATCTTCAAGGGCATGGTCCCTCTCGCCTCCATATTTTCCCTCTCACACACGCACTCTCTTTTTCACACTCTCCGGTTACCATGCTGTATGGCCTCCATCAATTACTAGTGACGTGCCCGTCATGAAGCTGCTGGCGTCGCTAAGCAAGAACAGCGCCGCGCCCCGGTATTCGTTCGGGGACGAGAGCCTCCCTAACATGTTCTCTTTCTCCCACGTCTCCTTCAACCCGGCCACTTCCTCGAAGTTCTTCTCGACCATGGGCGTGATGATGTGACCGGGACATAGGGCGTTGACCCGGATGCCGCCCTCGATAGAACCATCATCCTTCCGAATCGACTTCCCCCACTCCATGGCCATGTTCTTGGCCAGCTGGATCACGGCGGCCTTGCTGGAGTTGTACACACTCGTGATGAGGCCCTTGTTAGCAACGAACCCGCTCATGCTGGCCACCATGACAACGCTTCCCTTGCACCGGAACCGGATCATCTGCCGCGCGCACGCCACCGCCGCGCAAAAGACCCCCTTGAAGTTGATGTCCATCATCCCCATAATCTCGTCCGCTGGGTAGTCGAGTGCGGGACTGATGTGTTGCACCCCAGCCGCAGCGATCAGCCCGTCGAGCCGTGAGTGCTCCGTCGCAATCGCCTCCACCGTGCGTTCGAGCTGCTCCGTGTCGCGCACATCCATGTACGCATAGCGCAGTGACCCTTCGAACGACGTCGCCAACCGGTCTGCTACTGTCCTGAACTCGTCGTCCGGCTCACACAGTCGGTCGAGACAGTACACCCGCCCTCCGGCCTCCACCAGCGCCTCCGCCAGCGACAGACCCAGGCCTCGTCCACCTCCTGTCACGATAAACACCTTGTCTTGTAGACTGAACTCTCGGAATCGCCTAGGATTTTGTTCCGGGTCGGGCAATTTGGTGGGGATCTTTGCAGAGTCCTGGCCCCGGCGCGTGCCTGGAGGTTGCGACATAGCTGCCGAATTCGTGGGTGGCGGTATGTTCGGGCTTCAAATGCAGTCGTAGGGTTGCTGTCGACTCTCTTGAATATCTTCGAAAGAAACCCTGCCTAATTCTGAGCATCAGATGTGTCCTAGCTGTGTGGTAGGTGGGTTCCAGCTGCCAACTAGGGGACGCACCATGATGTCAATGTCGATCCGGCGTCATCTTCCGTCCACTTTATGATTGGATCGGCTACACACTAGGTGATGTGGGCAACGTAGCATAGAAATGGAAGCAGCCTCGGGTCTAGGGGTTATGGGATGAATAGGACGTGCCTCTTAACGTAGCTTCATAGATTAATTATACTAAATCGGCTTAATTCTCTCGCATCGAGAAATATAAGAGATAAGATTACTAGAGAAGGCATAAAGTATTGTAAAGCTTATTTATCGGTTATTAGGTACGATGAACGTAAATAGATAGAAGGATTATAGGAAACTATATAGTACTAACTTATAGTATATTAAGGTTAAATCGGTATATATTCTCGCCTATCCTATAGGTCGGATAAAGGGGTAGGGCTACGTTACTAGGGGTTCTCTCTCCTCTAGGACCGTAGGATAAGAACTAACCGACACTAAAACGAATACTATAGTAGCTACGACTAAAATAATATTCTTTACTTACCTATATTAGCGAGGAGACCGTAACGCTATAGATCTCTATAGTCTTAAGTTCGCTAAAGAAGTATACTTTTAAGGTTTCTTATAATAGAAGTATATAAAGCTATAATAGCCTTATTTATAAAGATTATTACTACTAAAACTTAGGCTATATAGTTATATAGTCGAACTTATAGAAGGAAAATATCTTAATTCTATAAACTATACTCTTATAACTACTATTTTTAATACTTAATATACGTTCTTATTCCTTCCTTCTATACTTATATTATCTACTTTTTTCCTTACTTACTTATTCTTCTATACTAAGGTGTTACGAACTAGGTCACTAGAAGGGTCGCTAAGGACAAGCCGCCTGCACTCGAGGGAAACGAGGAAGTTAGCCGATGGAGAACGAGGCTACGTCACGTAACTAGGGAATGGACTGTGGAGGACTATAGACTACGAATATAGTCTAAGTAAGTCTATAGTCTAGGCTAGCACTATATATATATATACGCTCCTTTACCTAGATAGAACGGTTCGTAGTTAACTTCGTTAGTAATCCTATACCTATATTTTAGGATATAGTCCGACGAATAAGTATTCCCTTTATTATCTTGGTCAACACTCTAGTACCCACTCTATCAAGGAACCCTACCTTGGTTAGAACTGCTCGCAGCTCGGATCATAATACTAGGCCCCTTTTTTCTTTCTTTATTACTAAGCGCCTCGAGTCCTAATATATTCCTTTCTACTCTACTACTTAGAGAATCGTCTTAAGTATATCTATAAGATCTAGAAATTTCCTATAAGGAGCTCGAAGTACGCGTATACGATAGCTATAAGATAGACTTATACGATAGTAGAGAGGCGATATTACGAGTATCGTACGAGAAAAGTATACGTCTCGCGACGAATATCGGTGTTTTAGCCCGTAGCCTAGCGTAACTTAATTTACTATAGGAGCCTAGGGAGCCTAGGGCTACCGTATAGTAAGGATAGTTTTCCCTACGCTTATATATTATAACTAAGCTCTTATAGTAACTATTTTCTACTCTATAAGTATACTATAATCGATATTTTATCACGGGTTAAACTCGTAGGATGTCTTGGTAAGAACTAGCGACGTCTAGATTCGACCGTATAGTTATACAGCCGATCGATGTCACGTAATATTAAGGATGTCTTAGCGAGCGACGCTAAGACTAAACTAGCGATACCTAGACTCGACCGTATAGTTATATAGCCGGACGATATTACGTAATATTAATAGTTTCCTAGAATACCGAGCGACCTACTCTAGGAAATTATATCTCCCTATAAATAGCGGTAGGACTTTTTTCTCTCTTTCCTTTAGCTTAACGTCTTTATTAAATAGGTCCTATAGTAGTTAAATAAGCTTCTATTAAAACCCTTATATATTTTTCCTATACTCCTATAGTCTATATAGTAAATCCTCTATCGCCCTTCTATTCTATCGTTTTAAGTATATAATTCCTAATTCGTTTAATAGCTAGTATACCTATACGTACTATATTTCTTTAAGTTTTATTATTTCTAGTCGTACCTAGATACGTCGTACTTTCTCTCTAGGTTTTATTATCTCTAGCTATACCTAGATACGTCGTATTCTCTCTAGGCTCTATTATTTCTAGTCGTATCTAGATACGTCGTACTTTATTATTTCTAGCTATATCTAGATATATCGTACTTTCTCTAGGCTCTATTATTTCTAGTCGTATCTAGATACGTCGTACTTTATTATCTCTAGCTATACCTAGATACGTCGTACTGTCTCTAGATTTTATTATTTCTAGTCGTATCTAAACTTTATTATCTCTAGTCGTACCTAAACTTTATTATTTCTAGGCGTATCTAGACTTTATTATTTTTAGCTATATCTAGATACGTCGTACTCTCTCAAGGTTTTATTATTTCTAGCTATCCCCTGAGCCGTCAGCGTGTGACCTTTTTTTCTTGGCGTGACAACTCAAAATCGCGCTTCGTAGTTTTCAAAGTAAACAAGTACCAAAGATGACTCAACCAACGCGTTTTAGCCGCATTCCTAGGCAAAAGATATTCTTTAATGAACGAGAGGTACTTGAATTACCTGAAAAGCAAAAAAAAAGCGAGAAAAGTGAAGTGCAAGTGCTCGAAATACGCGCCGCAAGTACAAATGCTCCGCCAGTGGTCTATGAACTTGTCCGGCAACTACAAGTAGACTATACGCCACCAATTTCTGTCGCTAGAAGGCCTTTTCATATTGTATGGAAAGAGCGTGATCCACTGAGTCTGTTCCTACGATTTTTAGGCGGCTTACAGTCTCTTAAGATGATTTGCGTGGCGACCAATACATACGCGGAAATGCGACTCTCGGCCGTGGAGCAAACTCCGCAACCGCGCCCGTGGAGTATTGTTCAACCAATTAAGCTCCTACGATACTTCGGAATCCTATTTTATATGGCCAATCACACTGAAGGTAACCGGAACGCGTATTAGCAAGTATTAGAAGTAGGAACGGGCCACTACTTAGGGCGCTATATGCCTAAAACTCGCTAGGAGCAAATCCATCGATATTTAACCTGGAATTACTCGCCCACCACCTAAAAAGACTCCTAGTTTGCCTTAGTTGAGCTAATTACTTCTATAATACGGTAGAATTATTAAGCGGCCGTTAAACCGAGCACGTAGATTACAGTCGATGAGGCAATAATTAAGTTTACAGGGCGTACAAGGCATAAAGTTAGTATTCCGTCAAAACCCATTCCTCAGGGCTATAAAGTCTGGATACTAGCGCTTAAAAGCGGCTATACATAGTCCTAGCGCTGGCATTCGCGTACTTACGGGCCTAAGGCGGTTAGGAATGATAAGAAAAGGCAATATTTTACTCAGCCTACTGGAATGCCTCTAGTAACACTAGCACCGACTTATTAAGTAGTTTAGGATCTTTGTTAGGAACTCCGGAGTAAGGATCCTTATACTAATTACTTAGTATTCCTTAATAACTTGTTCCTAACTTTATCACTAGCATATACGTTACTTTATATCGGTTTTAGCGTAATGGACACTATACGCAAGAATTATAAGGACTTTTTACAGCGATTTATCGACATTAAGCTCTTAGATACTAATTTTACGTACGGATCCTACTTAACTAAGGTTATTAATTACGCCTTATGCTTTCTATAGTAGGATAACGCTCTAGTTATTAGTATTACGACTACTTTTAGTATACGAGAAGGCCCTAAGGATTATGTCATTCGGACCCGCAAGAGGCCAGTTAATAATGCCGTTACGGCGTTAGTCTTTGGTGACAGAGTAGTCAAGGACTTACTAATTCCACGTGCAATTGATGCGTACAACTACGATCATAGATTCGTCGATATTACGGATTACTTAAGGAGCAATTTTACGTACCAGCGATACTAGGAACGGAGAACGTGGCGTCTACTTGCCTACTGGCTTTTGGATACTTGCCTAGTTAATTCGTACCTAATTTAGTACTCTCTACAGCCGGACGATGCTGTACGAGACCGCCATTTCCACCGACGCTTTTACACAGAGCTCATAAGGCAGATTTTTGAGTATCCGGACCCCCTAGCGGACGCCCCGGCCACTCCTGCCAGGACTCGCTCTACAAATTATCACGTGCCTACGGAGATACTAAAGCGCGGCCACTGCGCCTAGAGTAAGTATAACGGCGGCAACTACCTTAGTGGTGGTGCTACAAGTGATACTAGGCTAGTCCTAGGAGAGGTTTCTAGTAATGCACGGCTATAGACACGTAATCCTAGAGCACGCGCTCCGCGCTCAAAACGCGTTAAATTCGGCTGTAAACCCTGTGGCGTGCACCTCTGTATCAAGAAGGGTTGCTTTAATGAGTATCATGCAAATCTATATAGTAATTAGGTGGTGAGAGCTATTTAAGTCCTCAAGGTTGCCTAGAAATATTGATTTCAAGTTTTAGTGGTTTGCGCCAAGAAAAAAAAGGTCACACGCTGACGGCTTAGGGGATATCTAGATATATTATATTCTCTCTAAGTTTTATTATTTCTAGTTATACCTAGATACGTCGTATTCTCTCTAGGACTTATTATTTCTAGTCGTATCTATATAGATTATACTTTATTATTTCTAGCTATACCTAGATACGTCGTACTCTCTAGGTTTTATTATCTCTAGTTATACCTAATACTAGCTTCTATTATAGTAAAGAAGGAAATTAAAGAAAGAAAGGATCTTACTTACTATATTAGCTTTTATAAATACTTAACTAATATTATTTATCTATTAGGGCTATCTATCGCTAGCTATATCTTCGTTAATAGAAAAGCTTCGAATATAATAGCGCTTCGATATAATAATAACTATACTTTTACTATTCTATTTATTCTTAGTCGTTTTACTAGGCGAATATCCGGGGGACAAGGTTTAGGATCTATAGTGGAAGTAGCCGAAGACCGTAGAAAGAAGGAGTAGAATGTATAGTCGCTTTCTATCTTATTAAATAACTTAAGATCTATCTAAGTAAAGGAGTATAGGCCTGTTTTATATAGGCGTAGGCTTCGTTATAATATCTCGTAAGTACGAGAGTAATTACCGAGTATTCGTAAATACGAGTTAACTCCTAGGATACTTAGAAATTAAGTTAAGTAATTTCTAATCCTATAGAATAGAATGGCGTTTTATAGAATCTTCCGTAAGGCTTAAGTATAGCCTTGCCTAATGGATACTACGTGATCCTAGCTTATATAAGCCTAATTACGTAACTAGGCGTTAATAGGGTATCGCTTAGTCTTAATAAATAATATAGATAATTAGTCGATTTCGTAAAAAGCTCTCTAGACTTATATTTAATTAAGAAGTCGTTATATAGTTCTATCTATATATCGTATATCTTCTTAGATAACATCTTCTAAATTTAAGCTCTTCTATAATTATCGATTAAATATATAGATAGTAGTATCGAATTCGTAGCGATAGTAATAAGTAAGAGTTTTTCTTTTAATTCTACTATAAGTATCTTAGTAATAATATTAATTTTCGTATATTTTATATTTCTTATAACTTTAAGCTAGATATTTAAACTATATTCGTATATTTCGAGATTATACTAAAATATTAGATAATAACGATTTCCTATTTATAATAAGTAGATAGTTAGCGGTATTTTCGGTCGCTTTTTATTCTACTATTTTCTAAACCTCTTAAAACCTTTACTCTATTTAATTCTATCGACTATCTATTTAATACTATAGGCTATAGTAAAGAGTTTATTTCTTATCGTTCCTATTAGGCCTTCTCTTTCGACCCGCTCCTCGTACGCCTTAATATATTCCTTAGAGGTATATTTTAATATTATTCGCTCGACTTTAGCTTTTCTAAGTTTATAAGTCGTATATATTTTACGATTTAAAGGTAGTTCTATAACGACTATAAGGTATAAGATAGTAAAGAGTCGAATATAGAGTTAGAATAGTCGAGAGAGTAGGTATAAAGCTTAAGAGGATAGTAAATAATTATAAACTAGTGTGATCTTAACTATAAATAAGCTCGGCGCGTTTTTAAAAGAGAAAATAGGATAATTAACTTTAACTACGTAGGTAATTATAGTTATTAGCTATAATTAAGAAAAGAAGATAAGATAAGGAGCGGTAGAATTTAATTAAAGTTAATACTTTACTTCCTTTATCTATTACCTTAGTATTACGAACTAGATTACTTAAAAGGTTACTAAGGGAATTAAGGTACCTACCTAGGGAAGGAAGTTAGCCGATAGAGAACGAGGCTATATTATATAACTAGGTAAGGCTAGATCTCCTAGATCCCTTAGATCTTATAGATCTTAAAAGATCTAGGGAAAGCTATAAGATCTAGGAGAGCTACTAGTAATATATATATACGCTTACTACCTTCGTTAAGAGAGATTATAGTTAACTTCGTTAGTAATTCTATACTTATATTTTAAGATATAGTCCGACGATTAAATATTTCCTTTATTATCCTAGTTAATACTCTTATATCTACTCTATTAAGGAACCCTACCTTAGTTAGAACTACTTATAGCTCGGATTATAATACTTCGACGCATCCGAACTAGCTCCGAGAGCTATTCGAACGCTATCCGAAGCGAACCCGAGAGCGCCTAGGCGCTAGTCTAGTATATACTTAGGATACTATATAGTCTAACGAGTCCCTCGGACCGTCTTAGGAATAATTTTATCCCCTTCCCATTATAGTATTGTCCTAACCTCTCTACCTAAGCGGACTACGCTAACTAGGTAAGCGGGAATATTCGATTAATCGTTCTATTATAATCTCTCGCTTCCCTCTCATTTAAGTAGAATACGTCCAATGCTGTGTCATTTCGTAGCATCATGGCTCTTATCTAGATTTCGGCATCTCGCTAAACATGAATGGCCCTATAGGCTGCGTCCTTAATGCTCGTCGCCTAGGTGACGAAGCTATAGCTACGTTGGAAGACAGCAGCGTGATCGGGTAGAGGAGTTGGTCTCTCTATCCCGCCCTCCATTTCGTCGTCCATTACGCCGTCCACTTCTACCGATTTGCTTAAGGCCTTAACTAGCTCATCGCCGAGGCGTTTATAGCTAATCAATAAGTTATATAGAAAACTGGGTAGTAGAGTAGGGTTATAGTTCGCGGCATCAAAAATAGGATTAGGTAGGCCGATGAAGCCTGCCATTCGGTAGCTAGGCTGCAGTAGGCTTCCATCACTATCACATAGCCCATGTACGATGGCGCTTAAGTGTTGTGAATTAACTATACTTTGCACACCCAGGAAACGGTGGTAGATATAACTATAAATGTAGTGCTCGGAGTATTCAGGCACGGTCTCGACCACTTGGCATCCACTATCTGGACGAGTAACTGGAGAGCCATCAACGACATTCCACTGACTAAGATCGTTCTTCGATGATACTAAGATAGCCGGGACGTTGCTAGTGAAGAATGTCGTATCCTTGACATCTATCCACTGGACGACGTCCGCTGCATTTCCATACAAGAACTAAGACTAGTCGTACGAAGGAGCTCCAAGAGGGTGACCCCGAACCGTATGTATAGATCGGAGAGAATTATGCGAAGACACAGGGCATTAAAGAAGGCGACTGGTTGATCGTCGAATCGAGAAGCGGCAAAGTTGAGCTTAAGGCGAGAGTCGGGTCGATGGTAGAGGGACAGGTCTTTGTCCCATTCCATTTCGGATATTTTGACGCCCAAGATGGGAAAGCCAGAGCTGGCAACGAGCTCACTCAAGATACGAAATATCCCATCGATCTGTTTCCGTTAGCTCCGCTGTGCGTAGTGGGAGAGCATCCAATTTCGAAGCGGCCACTGTTCAAGTCTAGCTCAGTGAGAGTGACTAAAGTCGAGAAACAGGACGAGGGCGAAGTCCCACATCCATGAGCAACAAACGTCCGCGGACAAACGTGTCGAACAGATCCAGAAGCGGCACACTGCAGACTTGCGCGGAAAGTCACCCCAACTTGAACGTTAACTGGAGTTCTAGCTTACCATCATATTCGATCCTTTCAAAAGCCTCCGCGGCATTTGCGACGATCTCATCCCTCTGATGTCACACGGCGATTAAGAGGTAAGCAATGGCATGTAGGTCATAAACCGAATCGTGACTTCATACATTGAGCATTTCGGTCCATACGCACTGAAATACCGCGCCGTGGGAGACTTCGGGCACGATATCAACAGCCAGCTGAAGGACAACCTCTTTCCAGCGGATGCGATAGGTCACCTTTCGCGATTATAGTCCCTCGATACATTAGTAGTCCTACAAGGCTTCTACACATTCTGGGGCTAGATCAACGCAAATTTAATCACATTGAGCCCCAGTGCACAGAGGACATGGGACGAGGCCTTCATATCTACTGTGGCTTTTGTTTAAGTCTAGGTCGAGAGGATGCAGGCTTGGACTAAGCAGCAGCTGAAAGTCGTGGGCACAAGCTCTTTTGGTGCCATTCCAGCCTACCGCCGACCTTAAGAGGAGATTTGAAAGGGAGGATAGTGTCGAAGATAATTACAAGCACGAGAATTCTAATGGAGGTAACTCAGGCTAAGTCATACATTAGGTACCTAGATTATACGGAGAGCACCAGTATTGTTAGGGGAAAGCAGCCTTTGTCACTCGTGTCTTACACTCACATCTTGTCTATTTCGTCTAATTATCCACTTTGACTTTCTTATAACTACCATCCGACCTCGCCTTTCGATTCAAATATTCTCCAGTGTGCGTAGTATGGAAAGCCAGCCCGTAGGGGTTACGTTTCTGGTCTGAGGGTTGCTCAGGGTCGACATCGCGCTTTTGGATCTCTTGCTTCTCCAAATAACCCTGTAAGCCGGGTGCGAAGAAGAGCTTGCCTTGCCAGACGCCTGAGGGATGTCAGCACGAGATATCTTCAGATGCAGAAGTCCTTACCTTTCCAAAAGCTCATCAATGCACAAAACAACCACAGTAGCACAACCGCAACTGTGCAAGTCGCTGCCCAACCTTTCAAACCCTCATTACGGAGGTTGGTGCTCATGAGATTCCACGCATTGGCGTACACGCCGCATGGAAAGACGAAGCTCCAAAAAGCTGTGGACGTCAGTAGGAACAGTAACAAATAGCACGATTGCCTGTTTAACTCACCAACATTGAATGGGCCCGGAGCTTTTGTGCATAGGGCTAGGACACCTTCGATCAGGAAGAAAGATGCCACCGCCAACTGAAAGAGAGCAAGGATGATTCCTGCCCATTGAATAGCCTCTCCAATGGTTGCGATGTACGCACTATCTGCAGGTGGCTGAGGTTGGTTAGTAAGTATATAGTTATGCTGTGCGATACGTCTTGCCAGCTCGGACGCTAGCTGTTGAGTCGAGTACGCGCCCATGCCGAAAGGACCGATGGGAACGAAGGTACTGATAATCACTCCTTGTTGGGGGAGCGGAGTACTCATGAGCCGCCAGATGTAGATAGGCACAAGTGTGAAAGACATGCCCACTCCCAACGACCACATCAAGAATGACACAAACAGCACTAAGACACCGTTCTTATAGCTCAGGTGTGGCGCCTCCGCACCACCAAGCGTTGAACAGACAATCAGGGGGATGAAAGTCAGAAACCACGATCCATTGACCTGGTCGAGAGAATGTGCCTTTTGCCGACCATACATAAAGTATATCCCACCAAAAGCGACAAATGCGCTTCCAACAACAGCTATCCAGAACATAGCCTCTGCAGCATACACCCCGGATGAACGACTAGAGTAGAATTGCACCACTCCAAGCACAATCGTTTCCCATGCCACCACAATGGCTCCAAGATAGCTCGTTTGCGAAAAATCGTCGACGACGTTCTTTGCGATGACGGGAAACATGAAAACTCGGAGAATGCCTAGAGTCATGAAGAACACGAACAGGCAGATATCGGCGATCTACCACATAAATTAATCAGAAACAGTTCTTGACATCCTAGCTATCGACGACTTGCACCTACCCAGAAGACATATGCCAAATTAGAAAGCCAATAAGCTGGGTAGGGAAAGTGAGTAAGCAACTGTACACATACACCTAGAGCCGTCCTGTCAATTAATGACTTTTGAGCACCAGCATTACTATAGATTTCAACTTACCGGTTCCCATCGGTACGGTAAACCAAGAAGGGTCGGCCGTGATGATGCGCTAGGCGAGGTCAGCACATTGAGATCTCCGAACCGAAACAAAATCCCGTTTTTCAAACCTCTCTCCATTCTTCTGCACGGAGCCAACTCTTGAGCTGCGACATCTCGATACCTCTTTTACTCAAGCAATATAAATATTATTAGCTTGCCTGTTGCTCACGCTGAGAGATAAGAAGGCATCAAGATTTTAAACATGAAAGCCGACCTCAACAGATCCTTTGATAGTGACAGCCTGCAGACATTGAATAATGATATCATTTTGACGTGCACTAAGAAATTCGCTCGAAATATATAATTCGGACTTTCCGGGAGCCGGATGTACCATGACGTTGTGAACTAAGTGCCACACCTGGTTTACGTCAGGCTAATTGTCTCCCATGCAGCAGCGGAGGAACTTTGCTCGGATAACTCATGGGGAGATTTTGGATCTCCCCTCGTTATCGATGTTGGAGTTCATTTTCTCTTTTATCTTCGCAAGAAAATAGGAAGATTATAGAATATGCACCTTTAATCCTAGTATTAGGGGCTACCTTATGAGCCATTATACCGCTTAGGCTAGTGCTTATATCTCTTAGTGCTAGTAGTAGCTAGTAGAGAAAAACTAGTGACATCTTTACTCGTTACTACTATTATAGGAGTAAGTATAGTTTATTATATCTAAGTTAATAATAAGCTAAGTTTATTAGAGAGCTAAAGAGAGAGATAAACAGGCTAGAGCTAAGCCTTAGCGGCTCTTACGGTAATAAATCCTATTTATACGGGTTTCAATAGGAGTTTATTCAACTACTATAGTACTAATATAATAAGGATCTTAAAGCTAAAGGGAGAAAGAGAAAGAGGGAGTCTAGCCACCGTATACAAAAGAGGTATACTCCCCTTTAGTAGATCGTACGGTAGCTAGAGTAACTATCGATAGAGTAAGGTTACGTAATGTAGTCTTATAGGAGGTCGCCGTATTACGAACTAGGTTACTTAAAAGGTTACTAAGGGAATCAAGGCACCTACCTAAGGAAGGAGGTTAGCCGATGGAGAACGAAGCTAAGTTAAGTAACTAGGCTAGGCTAGATCTCCTAGATTCCTTAGATCTTATAGGATCTTAGGAGATCTAGGGGGAGCTATAAGATCTAGGAGAGCTACTAGTATTATATATATACGCTTATTACCTAAGATAGGACGATTATAGTTAACTTCGTTAGTAATTCTATACCTATATTTTAGGATATAGTCCGACGAATAAGTATTCCCTTTATCATCCTAGTTAACACTCTAGTACCTACTCTATTAAGGAACCCTACCTTAGTTAGAACTACTTATAGCTCGGATTATAATACGCCGGTTCTAACTAGGACTCTATATAGGTTTAAACCGTAATACTATTAGGTATTATATTAAGAGTAGCCGATATAGTAGTTAAGTAGAGTCTAATTTTAAATTGAGACGATTATATATAATCTCCGCCTATAATTAAAGCTTTCTTACCCTTAAGGTTCCCGGCTAGTATATACTCTATAAAGTATTTTATACCCTCTAGCTTAGTTAACTCGCTAGTTAGCTTTAATTCCTACTTAGAACTAATCTTAAGCTAGTTTTCTATCCTAGGAACTTATAGTAGTATTACGAACTAGATTACTAGAAGGGTCGCTAAGGATAACCTATCTATACCTAGAAGGAAATAGGAAACTTAGTCGATAGAGAATAAGACTACGTTATATATCTAGGTATAGCTCTAGAGGGCTCTAGGGGGCTCTATAAGGCTTAGTAGAAAGCCTAGTAGAGCCTAGTAGAGCTAGTAGAGCTACTAGTACTATATATATATAATTATTAACCTAGATAGGGTAGATTATAGTTAACTTTATTAGTAATCTATATCTATATTTAGGATATAGTTCGATAAATATATTCCTTTAGTTATTCCTATATTATGCCCTTCTAATTATCTACTCTATTAAGGAATCCTATCTTAGTTAAACTATTTATAGTTTAGATTATAATACTTTAACTACTACTTAATTAGTACTAAATATCTAATATAGGATCCTCTTAACTCTAATCCCTAGTACTAAGTACTTAACATCTTAATAACCTAGTAATACTTTAAAGACTAATATTACTCTAGATAGTTCTAACGATAACTTAGATATAAATATAGTAGATACTCTAACGTTAGGTTAAGGCTTAGACTAAAATAAGGATAATATTAGGGTAGAACTATTCTATAGCTAAAGAGAGAAGCTTAAATACTTCTTAATATAGCTTAAGATAGTCTTTAAACTTAATCTAACTAAGTATAAGGAAGCTAGTATATAAGGGTTTTAATAGAAGCTTATTTAACTACTATAGGACCTATCTAATAAGGACGTTAAGCTAAAGGGAAGAGAGAAAGAAGTCCTACCGCTATCTATAGGGAGATATAATCTCCTAGGATAGGTCGCTTAGTATCCTAGGTAACTATTAGTATTACGTAATATCGTTCGACTATATAACTATATAATCGAGTCTAGGTATCGCTAATTTAGTCTTAGCGTCGCTCGCTAAGATATCTATAATATTACGTAATATCGATTAACTATATAACTATATAATTAAATCTAGACGTCGCTAGTTCTTACTAAGATATTCTACGAGTTTAACTCGTAATATTACTTCTCTCCCCTCGTTCGAAGCTATTCTCGTTTAGCGTAGAAGCTTCGTATAATTCTAAAGCGGTTATATCCTTAAGGACTAAGCGTAGTTTCTATATTAACTATATATACCCTAACTATTTAACTAGTACTTTAGTTCGTATACTTCGCCTACGATATATCGTACGTTCGTCTAGAATTCTCTCGACGCCGAACTTATCCTCTTTATTTACGCGAATTAGTTCCGGTTATTCGTCGTCTCGTATTTACGACTCTAGAGGATCCGTCGCGGTCGTACGTAGAAGGTCGACGTAGAAGACGTTATAGATACTCGATAGGATATCTAGTCGATAGCTATAAGTACCGATAGATTCTAATACTATATACTTAGCGTTCTTTTAGTCTAGTTTCTTTAACTATCGAGTCGTATATATATTTTAGAAGTTAAGCTAAACCTTATCGCTAACTCGAAACTATACCGCTTATTACTTCGTATAATTTATAGCCTCTTCTTACTCCTACTAGGTAACTACTATTAATATTTAGGCCTATTCCCTCGCCTTTTATAGCCGTTATACGATTTCTTCTCCTTACTCGATAGGGCTCCTAGGAGTAGTAATTAGTCGTATAACGTTCGTTAGCTAAATCGTCTTAATATAGTATTTATAACTAAGGAAGAAGGAGCTTACTCCCGTTAACTAAGCGTCGCGGTTATTAATCGCTAACTCGACTATTAGGAGTACTTCTACCTAATTATCCTATACTCTTCTAATATACGTACGTAGGTACGTCTCGACTATCTAGTTTATACGTTCCGTTAATCCGTCTATCTATATAAGGGTTTTAATAGGAGCTTATTTAACTACTATAGGACCTATCTAATAAGGACGTTAAGCTAAAGGAAAGAGAGAAAGAAGTCCTGCCGCTATCTATAGGGAGATATAATCTCCTAGGGTAGGTCGCCCGGTATCCTAGGTAACTATTAGTATTATATAATATCGTCCGGCTATATAACTATACGGTCGAGTCTAGGTATCGCTAGTTTAGTCTTAGCGTCGCTCGCTAAGATATCTATAATATTACGTAATATCGATCGGCTGTATAACTATACGGTCGAATCTAGACGTCGCTAGTTCTTACTAAGACATCCTACGGGTTTAACCCGTGATAGTAAGGATACGATAAGCTAAACTAGTTAGTTTTTAGTATAGCTTTTTATTCTTCTCGTATAATTCGCGTTTCTTATTCTCTAAATAATTAAACTTAATATTTAAAAAAGTACTACTATATATAATATTCTTTTATATATAGATAGAGTAACGAGAGTAACCCTTACGAATAATATATATCTTATATACTTTAACGTATTAAGGGTAAAGAGCTATAGTTTCGAAACTAAAGCCGGAGAATTTAATTTTAGCGATAAAATATCGAAGTTACTTAAACTTAGAAAGAAAGGCTTTAGGAGGTATAGTTAACTATAGAACGAAAGGAAAAGGACTAACTACCTCGGACGAATAATACTTACCTTATATATATTAAGGGTAACGAATAAGAAGAGGAAGGAATAGTATTACGAATTAGATTACTAGAAGAGTTACTAAGGATAAGCTACTTATACTTAAAGGAAATAGAAAAGTTAGTCGATAGAGAATAAAACTATATTATATAACTAGAAGTATAGACTATAAAGGACTATAAACTATAAAAATAGTTTAGGTAAGTCTATAGTCTAGGCTAGTAATATATATATATACTTCTTTACCTAGATAGTATAGTTCGTAGTTAACTTCGTTAATAATTCTATATCTATATTTTAGAATATAGTCCGATAATTATATATTTCCTTTATTATCTTAGTTATACTCTAGTATCTACTCTATTAAGGAACCCTACCTTAGTTAGAACTACTTATAGCTTAGATTATAATATAGAGAATATAGATTATATACTTTCTTAGGGCTTAATAGATTATAGATAAGACTAAAGTACTTAGTTAATTAACTAAAAAGGTTTTATATACGAAACGAAATAAATCTATTTCTTAAAATAAATAGTAAATAGACTAAACTAAGGTCTATAACTATATAACTAGAGTAAAAAACTAGTTATATATTATAATTCGAGCTATAGGTAGTTCTAACTAAGGTAGGGTTCCTTAATAGAGTAGATATAAGAGTATTAACTAGGATAATAAAGGGAATCTTTAATCGTTAAACTATATTCTAAATATAGGTATAGGATTACTAATAAAGTTAACTATAAACTATACTATCTAGGTAAAGGAGTATATATATATAGTATTAGTATAGACTATAGACTATTCTAGACTATCTATATAGTTTATAGTTCCTTATAGTCTAGTCTCTAGTTATATAACGTTACCTTATTCTCTATCGGCTAACTTCCCTATTTCCTTTAGGTATAGGTAGCTTACTCTTAGCGACCCTTCTAGTAACCTAGTTCGTAATAAAGAGGTACCTAGCGTACGATTAGTAGGCGATCCGCTATAAGACCGTAGAAAATATATATCGAGATATAGTTCTTCTTACTAGTACGCTTACTAGCGATATAATAGTCGTACCGAGTAGAATTACTATTCTTCTAATAGACTAGTATATATTCTATAAGGAAATTACGACTAGCCCGAAGGCGACGTAGATAGCGTTAGTATAGTATCTTATTAGACTTATAGCGCTTACTAGAAGTCTCTAGGTTAGGCTTATTCTCTAGAAGAGCTAGGGAAGTTAGCTACGATTCGTATAAGAAGAGTAGAATACTTACCGCGCTTACTAGGACGATTACGGTCTAGATTAAAAGAACTACCGCTAGTAATAGTAGAAATAATAATAATAGAAGTAGATATAGTAGTATTATAATTAGTATACGACGAGTAAGCGACTTTACTATAACTTATAGAAAACTTATATAAAGATACTATAGGTAAATAAATAGCTAAAGGATTAGATTATACTATATAACGATTATATCGGTGTTTTAGCTCGTAGCCTAGCGTAACTTAATTTACTATAGGAGCCTAGGGAGCCTAGGGCTACTTAGCGCTTATTCTATATTCTATAAGAACTTATAGCTACTATTATATTTCCTAATTAGGTAATTTTTATATATAGATATATTAGTAAATTTAGCGTATTTTTACTTTTTAAAATATTTAAGGTTTAAGGTTTACGCTGAAGTCGGCTAACTCGCTAGTACTCTTATTAATTAATTAACTACGCTAATAACTTAATAATTTAAAATATCGAAGTTTTAGTAAAATTTACTATATATATTATATAATATATTTACTAGTACTAATACTAAGGCTACTATTAAGAATAGTCTATATAGTTATAAAATAGAAAAGTTCTATAAATAGTAAAGTTAGTGTATAAGCCTATAGTACTTAGATACGAGCCTAGCGAGCCTATAGTAATTAAGGTTTACCCTATAAGCTTATAATAAGTATCTATTATAGCCCAGCGCTACGAGCCGACGGTAGCCTAGGGCTTACTAGGCTACTCGGTCCAAAATATAGATATAGTATCGAACTTATATAGAATACGCTCTTTAAGATTAACTAGTAGCGATATATATACGAATCTTAGGAGTACTTATAAAAGTTATAGCGAAATAAAGAAAGAGAACTCTATAACGAGTAGTAGAAGAATATATATATACTTAGAACTAGACCGCTAACTACTCGCGAGTAACTACTATATATTTACTATACTATTATCTACGTCTATTTACCTTAGGATAAATAGGAATAAATACTTATTTATCTATAAATAATATCGTACTTAATAATAATCTATTTACTATAGAATAGGACCGAAGAACGAATCGCGATTAGCCTACGAGAATTATAGGATAATACTTAGCTACTAGAGGAGGATAATAGAACTTACTAAGAGTAAATACGATTTAGTAGTATAGTAAAGCCTTAATTCTTACCTATTAAAATAGCGAGTAGTTCGATACCTAAGCTAGTCGAGCGCGATACTAACTCGTATACGACTAGTATACGAGGTCGCGATAGAAGCGTAGATATTAATAAAGGTCTTAAAAAACGAAATAATAGTAAAGACCTTAATATTAATAATATAGATAAACTATTATATATTATATACTATAGGACTATAATATATATACGTATCGTATATTATACTTTATCTAAATTAGTTCCTTAAGGACGAGGAACCTAGGAGAAAGGGAATAATATTAGAAACGAATAAGATATATATAGTTTCCTTCTTAGTAGAAGAGAAATAGAGAGTCTAGAATCTTCTATAGCGCCGCTAAGCTAGCGCCGAGACTCTAGTATATAAGAGCTACTTATTATATACGAGTCCTAGGAGAACCTTATACTTTAAGCTTACTACGACGAATACGTTAAGGTATTACTTCTAATCGAGAGATAGATCTAATATTAAGGCTATTTAAACTACTCTACTAGTAGTCTTACCTATAAGTACGAGTAGTACCTAATATTAAGTATCTTACTTACTTTGTTAAATTAAGATACTTATTTAGAATATATAGAAGTAAACTCGAGAGTAAATATAATTTAAGCGTAAGATACTTAATAGCTAAGAATAATTATAGATATATAACTAAAATTCGTTTCGACGATATATATAAGAGTATAAGTAACTTAACGAAAATACTAAGATAATCGATTAATTACTATATAGTCCTTAGAATATCGACTATCAGAACTTAAGGAGTCTAAAAACTCGTATACGATCCGTATAGCCCCTAAGGTCTTATATACTATGCCCCTTAGTATTTTAGTACTAGTCTTAGCATAAGATAGGTGCTTCTAGGGTCTACCGTAGTCCTGTCCCGTAATAATATAACTATATAGTTTAATAAAATAAGTCTTTAGAAATTAATAAGTATTATAATAATTCTTTTAGTATTATAATATATAAGAAGAATAACTAAGTAGTAGATTAGTTATTTTATTTTCAAGTATAGAATCGAGAAAAGAATTAATAAAATAGCTATTAGAGAAATAATATCTAGCGACTTAAGTAAAGTAAAACTTAGTAAGGAGTAGAGGATCTAGAGACGAGGAACATCTACTAGATTAAAGCTACCGAGACTAATAAGTTCTTTAAGAAGATAGAGTAAGGTAAGAGAACCTTCGCCCGCGTAGACGTCTAATATACTAGAATTAATAACTTTATTTCTAATAATAGCTATTAAAACTTTGTTAAGTTTAGGAGAAGAGTTACTAATTATAAGTAGTTCTATAGTACTAATACTATAGGCTAGTATACTATCTATAGAAAATCTTTTCTTTATTAGTTATTAAGACTAAGCGATACTCTATTAACGCCTAGTTACGTAATTACGCTTATATAAGCTAGTATTACGTAGTATTCCTTAGGTAAGGCTATACCTAAGCCTTACGGAAGATTCTATAAAACGCTATTCTATTCTATAGGATTAGAAATTACTTAACTTAATTTCTAAGTATCCTAGGAGTTAACTCGTATATACGAGTACTCGGCTATTACTCTCGTACTTACGAGATATTACGACGGAGCCTACGCTATATAATATAGGCCTATACTCCTTTACTTAGATAGACTCTAAGTTATTTACTAAGATAGAAAACTACGATATATTCTACTCTTTTAACTTTAGCTACTTCTACTATAGATCTAAACCCTATCCTCCGGATAGAATCTAAACTAAATAATCCCTAATATTTACCGTCTTACTATAATTATTATTTTTTCTAACTACTCCCTTTCTACCTACGCTTAATCTAGGGGACTCTATAAGGCCTTAGAGGCCTTACGGACAATTAGTTCGCTATCTTAGTATAAGGGGAAATTTCTTAGTATTATAGACTAATAGAAGAGTAAATCAGCTCGCGTGATAATAATATATAGCTTATATTATATTGTTATATGCCTAAGAAATGGGGAAAGCCTTATACTTATACCGTATTAAATAATCTATTATATGAGTTGACTGTCCAAGCCGATAGCTAATTAAACCATTAATAAATTACATTTTGAAATACTCTATTTGCGCCGGTATATTAGTCTCCATGAGGGTAGGCATGCAAGATCTGACCGTAATAAAGTTCGCTATCCTTCGAAGCTAGGAACACGAAGCTTGGAGCGATCTCACTTGGCTGACCAGGTCTGCCAATCTGTGATTCTGAGCCGAAGCCCTTCATTTGCTCCGCGGGTCTTGATGCGGGCTGAAGCGGTGTGTGTACTGGCCCCGGAGCAACTGCGTTGACTCGAATACCCTTCGGCATGAGGTTTTTGGCGAGCGACCGGGTGAAAGAGACAATGGCGCCCTTAGTTGATGAGTAGTCGACCATGCTCGCTGTTCCGCGAAAAGCAACGGTGGAGGTAGTGTTAATGATTGAGGAGCCCTTCTTCATGTGTGGAATGGCGTATTTCGTAATTGCGAAAATAGCAAGAATATTGCTGCGAAAGATGTCCTCCACCACGATTAGGTCAATTTCTGCGAAGTCTTTACACATTGACTGTTTGCCTGCGTTGTTGACAAGAATATTGATCTCTCCGAACCTAGAAACAAAATTGAGCCAGGGTTCTCGTCACCCTCCCCGAACTGCTGACTTACTTATCGACATGCTTCTTCACTGCATCTCTGCACGTCTCCTCTTCCACCAAGCTGCCTGCGATAAGCTGGCATTCTTTCCCTTCCCTTTCGACAAGCTTCTTGGTCTCTTCTGCATCCTTCTGCTCTTCTTGTAGGAACACAATAGAGACATCGGCACCCTCTCTGGCGAAATGTACTGCGACTGAGCGACCAATACCGGAGCTGTTGAAATCCTGTTAGGCATTATATTAAGAGTGGCCGATATGGTGGTTAAGCAGAGCCTAATTTCAAAAAGGAGACGATTGTACTTACTCTCCGCCTGTGATCAACGCTTTCTTACCCTTAAGCTTTCCCGCTGGTATGTACTCCACAAAGCCTTTTGCACCCTCTAGCTTAGTTGACTCGCTGGTTGGCTTTAACTCATCCTCAGAACTAACCTCGCGAGTTAGCTTCCTAGCTTGGTAGCTTATAGTGGGTTAGTCAGGAGGGTTAATATGCCCTCACCCAGGTAGAGACTGTTCCTGCGCTTCCTTAATAGGCTGAAAGTGGCCTTCTTCACCACCATGCGCTGACATGTCTGATCCTATAATACTAATTCGGCTCTGAGAGACTTGTGGGTCGTCGTTTCGACAAAAAATGATATATAGGAAGAAATCAAGATGGGTATAGGCTTTAGGATGAAGCGCGCGCCTTTATTTACTGTGGTAAGATCATCTTAAGTAAACGATGGACTTAGTTCAGCGATGCTCATCTCTAGAGTTAACGGTGCGGATGCAATTCCGGAGACATGCATGCAGGTTGATTTCATACTTACATCATATTATAATACCATACGCGTGACGTAGCTAATAATTATAATATGTTAACTCCGTATGCGGAAGATGCCGTCACCGTAGCGCGAACGTCTACCCCTAGGGCGCTCCAAATACTTGGCTCCACAAGGCCCCGCAGCTCTACAAGGCTACCAACATTAAATAGGCCCCATTTAGCTACTTCACTCTTTATGACAATCACGTATATACACAGAGGCTCTGGAGCTTTCAATTACATAGAAAATAAGAGGATTAGGTGCTCCTACGGCACACTACAAAGTTTAACACAATAAAGCACCTTAAGTTCGGCCGGACTACAACTTCATTGGAGAAACCAGCCCTAACATGTAATTATCCCAATATTGTCCTCTGAAAGGTCCTCAGCCTTCCTTGGATGAGATGAGGCCTAGTCAACGAACACCCAGGTGCTGAGACCCTCAAATCCCTAAATAGCCTCGTTGTTGTCATGCCCAGCTTCCACCAGCGTCGTTGGATGGCAATTTACTACCATGGGAATCTACCCATCCGTAGCCTTGAGTAATTCATTGATATTCGTAACTGTGCACAACTCGCGCACGTGCAGGTGCCCAACTAAGCCGTACCACAGGAATCAGATGCTACAGCGACTTTGGTGGGCGAGCATGCAGAACGATAGTGGCTGGCGTGGGAATGGGACACGGAAGAGGAATACCACCCACATACATGGTGTGAGGACCACGGGATCGTGTGGGCTGCACCTTTCACACCCTAATTCAGCTGTGAGGGCCAACAACTAGTGGTGGGTCAGGGGTGAGTCAAGGTGGGCAAGGGTGAGTTAGAGCGGCGAGCTCACCCTCTAGAATGGGAAAGGAAATTGGAGGACCAAGAATCTGAGACGTAGTTTAGTGGTCTGCTCCCGAGGCGAGCACTTGGTGTTGGTCCTGACCTCATCAAACCCAATATCGGTGGTGGAATCTCATACAGGTTGACAGTAAATGGAGAGCCGGAAATGGCAAAGCAAAATCGTGGTCTGCACTGGAAATAGGCTTGACCATGAAGGATCAATCCTGGTCCCGACAGAAGCTTTGTCTCTACAACCCACTCGTCTACCCAGAAGAAAAGAGGCAACTTCGTTCAGCTCAAACCCGACGCTGCCGATCGCCGGCGGGGAAGCGCGTTGTGACGTACCACGATGGCAAGGCTCTTCCGTCCTTTCCGTCAACATTCGCCCCACTTCTCGTAGCCACAAGTTCACACTGTTAGAAGAGCGTGCTGTTCAACCCACTCAAATAGGCTCGCGAAGCGGATATCTTAAATGGTCCTTCAGTGCTCGGACAACGCTTCACCTTTGCGTCCGGCATGGGTACCAAGCAGAGACCCCGGCTCCGAGTATGAGTCCATACGCTAGCTTAGAGAGGTGCGGCACCTTCACTGGCAGCAGATGGTCTGTAGATGGCTTGATTAGTGCCTATGAACTCCCCACAACGGAGAAAATTCAATTCCTTGAAGTCCCCCGTACGTACGGCAAACCTAAAGAATCTCTGGAGACGCTCGCTTTACGAATTTACCATTACTGCTGAGTGCGGGGATCCATCGACATCACACCCGCCTGTGATGACAGCTTGGTGAAGCTTCGATCGCCCACGGATGATGTCTGCAACGACCTCGTATAAACTCCGTTCCTTTGTGCGCTCTTATTCTATTAGTTAACTAGCCCCCTCCTAGGATTCTATGCTCAGCGGTCTGATACTAGCACTTTAAGAATTTGTATACCATGCCTGCACCACCGTTTAAGGTGCATGTGCTTCATCCTCCCGGGTCTTCGCAGCAAGAGATTGCAGATGAGCCGGACTGGCACTCAGGTCATAATCACAGAATCGGCTATAGGAACAAAGATGATCGCGTTGCCGGGTTTACTCATGATGGTGAACATATGTGGACGACGGAGGAGGAACACAAGTTCGTCGACGAGGCGATGAGAAAATACCGGGAACTCAGAGAGAAAGCCCAGAAAGGAGAGTTAGTCAATTTCCAGGAAGTCATGGAACACCAGACGGTAAGTGGCTACGGTGAGAACAAAGACGCCAGCTACTGAAATAGTGGCCTAGGACTTCTATCGACATCGTCCCGATGTGTATCCACCAGGATGGAGGTTCATGGTTCGAAGTCGGGAGGACTGGGTCAAGTATGAGCAAGACTGGCCTGGTAGGTTGCCCTTAACGTGAGTTATATCTTCTGACGTGGCTAAGCAAATATTAAGCAACGAGAGAAAAAAGAAGAGGAGAGTAAGAAAGAAGATGCAATGAAGAAAGGAGAAGATGACAAGGAATCAAAAGACGACGAAAACGATTGGAGGCGTCAGAATGACAAGGATTCCAACAAACATCATGGAGCCTATGGGAGGTTCAGAGGTCAACTTCAAGGGCGACAACGGGTCGATCAAGGCAAATCCAGCCAAGATAAGGAGGATGGACAAAAAGGCGAGCACCAAGAGGAGCACAAAACGAAGTACCAGAAGCTATTGGAGAGGTACTCTCCACAGGAAATCTCCTTGCTGCATCATCTACAGGATGAAAGTGAGCAAGCCAAAGCCTTCCAGCAAAATGATGGAAAACAGGACTCTCCTGTCAAGAAAGAAGCCAGACATAAGCCACTCGAGATCGATGCTGTAGATGCCAGGACTCCTGACAACTGGATCCCATCTCGCAGCAGCCTCATTCGGCGAACTGGCCAGCATCCACTGAATGGCGAGTCACGCCTTGAGTCCCTCTTCTCGGCAGGCTTGATCACTCCCAACGAATTACACTATGTGCGGAATCATGGGCCTGTACCCCGATTGTACTGGGATCAGCATATGATTGATGTATGCGATGGCGCACTCAGGCTAAGCATGGATGATCTGGAAAGACAATTTGAGCCCGTTAATATACCTGTTGCGCTTGCTTGCGATGGTAACCGAAGAGGCGAGCTCAATGCGATAAAGAAGAGCAAGGGCTTCGATTGGGGCCCTGGAGCCGTTAGCTGTGCATACTGGAAGGGTGCTTTGCTCTATGAAGTGCTTGAGAAGGTCGACGTGAAGCGAGAGAAATGGAAAGGAGAAAGAAAATGGATTAATTTCGAAGGTGCTGATGAGCTTAGTGAAGGTAAGTACGCTACCTCGATCCCCCTAGATTATGCCTTAGATAGGGGAAACGATGTTCTTCTTGCCTATGAAATGGTATGTCAAAGAAGCCTCTACGCGTTCAGTCGATCTAATTATTTGCAGAACAATACCAAGTTGCCAGCAGACCATGGCTACCCTGTACGGCTCCTGATCCCCGGCTTTGTTGGAGGACGGAGTGTCAAATGGCTCGCCAAAATATGGATCTCCGATCACGAGAACGATTCTCACTACCATATCTGGGACAATCGCGTGCTCCCACCCTTCATCACCGAAATGGACGGGGAGTTTGCAAGGACGATGTTTAACCATCCCAGCACCGCTTGCATGGAACAGAATCTAAACAGTGTCATTGTCAGACCCGGTCAGGGACTGAAGCTGAACATTGCGGGTGTTCTGAAGAATGACACATTCAAAATCGAGGGTTATGCATACGATGGTGGCGGGCACGAGGTTCAACGAGTAGAAGTGTCCTTGGACGAAGGCCGGACATGGCTGTATTGCATCCGCAGGGTAAACATTTACAACGCAGCTTGATGATGGGCACTAACCAGGGTTTAGTTTCCCGACCGGCCAGTCCGCAACGGCAACAAATTCTGGACCTGGATACACTGGTTCATCGATGTCGATTCGGCCCACCTTGTCCGTGCACCTTCCATCACGGTCCGTTGCTTCAACGTCTTCAAGAACACTCAACCGGAGAGAGGCACCTGGAATTTAACGGGCATGATGAACAACGGTTGGTATGCCGTTAAATCCGACACTGATGCGGAGAGCAACATCATATTTCGACACCCCGTGGACTTTGAAGGAGACGACGGCTGGATGAAACCATCGACCGAAAACCAACTCGCTGAGGCGAAACAAGATAGCGGTGTTCCGGACAAGCAATTTACCAGGCAGGAGATCGAGAAGCACAACTCCAAGGACGACCTTTGGCTTGTTGTCAATGGTAATGTCTACGACGCAACCAGCGTCCTGTCCTGGCATCCGGGCGGTGCACAGCCGCTCATCGCAAACGCGGGCAGGCTTTCAATGGAAACCACAGCTAACTTCGAAAGCATCCACGACGAATACGCGCACAAGAAGTTGCGAGAATGCGCTATTGGCCGAGCTACACACAAGGCCATGCTCTTTATGCAAGAGCAAGAGAAGACGGAAGCCGCTGGAAGAGCTAAAGCAGGCAGTGATTCCGAGAATTTCTTGCAGAGTAAGAAATGGGTTCCAGTGAAGTTGATCAAAAGGAAACAGATTTCGGAGGATACCTTTACCTACAGTTTTGAGTACGACCATCAAAAGCACCGACTCGGCTTGGGTACCTGTCAGCATATCCTGTTTGGTATCCATATGCCGGACAAGATGCTCATTCGGCCATATACCCCGACGCGCCCCATCACAGAGAGAGACGAGGACGGCACGTTTGACTTGACAGTGAAGACTTACTTCCCGGATGAAAACCAACCTGGCGGCGCGTTCAGCAACTTCCTACACACACTTCCGCTTGGGGAGTTTGTTGATGTGTGCGGCGCTAATGGTGAAATAAAGTACAAGGGCAAGGGCAAGTTTAAGATCGAGGGGCAGGAGAAGACGTTCAAGAGGATTAGTCTAGTTCTCGGTGGCAGTGGCATTACGCCCGGGTACTCGCTTCTTAGGCGAATCTTCGAAGATGGGGATGACAACACCCAAGTTCGAGTTATTGACGCGAATAAGACGGAAGGAGATATCCTGCTGTACGCGCAGCTCAACAAGATGGTGAAAGATATTAAAGGTCAGATTCAGATTTCACATGTGTTGAGTCATCCCAAGAACCAGGAGGAATGGAAGAACCGGGGAGGCTTGTGTGGCCACGTCAACACGGACATGATCAAGAAGAATTTGTTCGAGCCGAGTGATGACTCGGTTGCCTTCCTGTGCGGTCCACCAGCCATGATTCAAAAATCCGCTTTGCCGGCGCTCACAGGTAAGTCCTTTTTCGGCCTGTTGTGGGTTTCAGTATGGACATCGCTGACTGGGCTCTTCGTAGACTGGGGCTATAAGGAGGATGAGAATTGCTTCGGCTTCTAAGCCCTAGATCTGTGCCCTCCCGCTGTGCTAAACTCTCTGAGCACATTCGATTCGCTAGGAAGCCCCAACTGATTCTTGCTCCAGCTTCAGTGAAGTGGTCTCGCCCATCGATGTTTGACTTCGATTTCCAGTCATCTCTATGCGGTCGACCACTGTAATCCTGCTCGAGTATTCGAGGAGACACAAAGTGTTGACCACGCTCTAATTCTGCCTGTAGGGCATTGCCAAACGGTCCTCGTTGAGTGTCGATATCTGCTCCTCGCTCGGGGAGCATCTGCACCACCTTCTCGTGGCCAAGCTCTAATGCGTTATAGAGAGCATGGCTATATTATCTACCTCTGAAGGGCGACGTCAATGATCTACGGGCAAGCGTATGCCGTCAAATGGCAGCCTCCAAGAGAGACTTAGCGATCGACCAGGATTTCCGCCTAGGAATAGGCGCAAATCAGCTTTTAAGCACCACTCATCTTCACCTCAGACTCACCCTCGACCCTCCCTCCCTTCTCGACGAAGACTTTGGCAGCCGCGCTAGACCAGGTAGGATCCTGCATCGGCAGACTAGACGACGACACGTTCTGTCGGTTTGCTCCCGGTTGAGTCCGCATTTCGCGTTTACAGAGCGGTTTCCTATTTTTGGGCCTCCTCGAATCTCTTTCTATGTACCCGTTCTAAAAGTCCCCCTATATACGAAATAAGGGCCTTCAGTAGGCCAGGAGTTTAAAAGAAAGCTATACATAAAATGCCACTTCTGAGCATGTTGATCGCTAGTTCGTCGCACCCTCCATTTTGCCACTGAACGCCGTTCAGAATGTGATATAATGATTCTAAAAGGGCAGCGTAGTCAGCAAAAAGGCTATGGGCCGATAATAATACAATAGCTACAGACATGACCATATCGGCAAATTCAAACGTAGCCTCAAATTCAACCCTTGTGAGAGACACGGGTTGATGTGTCTTCTACTTTCTGCTTGCCATACTTTGCGTCGGGTTGGTAGTACTTTAGGTCTGGACGACTTTTTAGTCTGCTTCTACCGTCCAACTCTACAGTCTTTGTCTACTTAGGATCCGTTACTTCCTGGGAAAGATATAAAGGCTGTCTTGCCCCTGACTGGATGTCACTTTATATAACACTAATTTTGTTACTAAGAAGTCTACTAGCAATACTCGTCTTAAAAGGTCTATATCGGACATTAAGACTTATAGAGAAGCAACCTCTATAGGATATTTCGGACTAATCGGAATTGGTGCTCTATTCTTCTCCATCGAAGCCAGACCCCGACTCGAAAGAGAGATCAGCGCTGCTAGCTCATCTAAAGAAACATATATATTAGTAACGTCCTGTAGAAGCCGTGCGACCTATTATTTACTGGGTGGTATTCATTTCTATCATTGTGTATAGCGTCTCGCCACCTATTATAAGCATAGCGAGCTATCCACTAAAGCATCCCAAAAGAGCACGCGCCTTATTGTAGGCGACGAAGACAGTCTCGTAAAAATGATCTAAGAGGATAAAGATAAAATTAGGAACGCTAGTCTAAAATTTAGATAGTAAGTTATAATAATAGATTTAGGTATTCGACTTTAGAGAGGTTATGAAAATTATTAGGCTTGTAACTACGTGCTATTTATACTCTATAACTATTAGATTATATTAGGTCCACGATTTATTAATTAAGTACCCGTAGTCCTTTATAAGATTAGACTCGGAGCGGACTAAATTAGCTTAAGCGGTTTCGTCCATTCATCGCATCGAAAGCATGCGAGTCGAGCAACTTAACCTTTATGCTTCTCATCCCGCTTACGCGGCTAGCGTAATATTAAAGTCCACTAGGATAGTTCCCGCGATGGCCCCCTTCGTAGGCAGGACTCGCCTGTCCCCTAGTTTAAGTCGACTTCGTGAATCACGATAGCATTGTTCTCACGCGCTCTGTCAGGAATGAGCGGGAGCTATTCGAAAGAGCTATATCGACGGATTTCTATCTAACTATAGAGGCAGTATCGACATCGATTCGAAGCGTAAGAAGCTTAGGGGAGCTTCGTACGCGTCTCGCGTACGATATACTAGCTAGTTACGTACGTAAGTCTTAGTATTCGTAATACGCTCGTGAGACGTGTCTTAGCTCCGTATCGACTTATTTAGTGAATAGGTAACCTTACCTACGGTATAGTCTCTTCGTTAGTCCATTCCCTTACGACTTAAATAGTAAGGTTTAGTCCCCTACTAAAATAGTATCCTACTTTAAAGCGAATACTTAGACGGCCGACTTATTCCTATTATATCGGCCTCGTACTTCGAGGCATCCACTAAAAATACTCGTAGAGATAGATAAAAGGCTATAATAAGATCCTCTATTCCTTTAAAATAGTTTAGCTAAGTTATATTAGTAACTATTAAGACTAAGCGATACCCTATTAACGCCTAGTTATATAATTAGGCTTATATAAGCTAGGATTACGTAGTATCTATT